GCAAATCAGTCAAAAGTGCAAATCAAAACCCATATTTACACGGCGAGTAGGCGCAATTTCTGATCGGTTTCGACACCATAGGTTGAAGCCATGAAGATAAACTTTATTTTAATTTTCTGGTTTTAACAACTGCGTCGTAACAACATCACTAGTATTGCCTCGAAATGCAAATGTGAAATGTCGGCAGAAAAATACGGGCGCTTCCGATTGCTCCCGATACTTTACGAAAATCCGGACTGGACACCATCATCGGGCTAGCCACAAAAACGATCTTTCTATAGTCTATCTTCCAATGGCCTCGTTTTCATGTCAAATACAAAAACGGAATGAAGTTAACGAGTGGACTCATTTTTTTTAAGAAGTCTGATTTCAGGTTCTCAGTTGCATGATTATCTTATTAAAATTAGTTGCAACAATGTGTGTAAATATTGTTTAGTATATTTAAGAGGCAATTTTTTTCAATGTCACGTATTTGCAATGAAAAGTGTTCAGAACCTAAAATCTTTTTGGCGTTCCTCTCAAAATTACTTTGTTTTACCTTTATTCTCTAGTTTATAGAGTTAGCAACCTTTTTATATAAATGCATCTGCCGGTTGAGAAACATAAAATAATAGTTAAAAATTGTCAATTAAAATACAATTATCTATGATGCTTTAAAATTGACGCCATATTTACAGTCATATAAGCAAAACTTACTGAACTTCAGACATCATTTTCTCTTTGGCGTATCATCTAAAATCTCTTCATTTTAGCGTTGTTTTACAGATAAAGCACTAAACATACTTTCTAAGTTTGTTTGCCGATTGAGAAACGTATCGAAAAATAAAAATTTTGAATTTAGTCATAACCTCGAGTGATATATTATTCGCTTTAGTTTTGAGTACGTGTTACGTAACATACAAAAAAATCTCCTCTTCAGTAATGAATATAAAAATGTGAAAAAATGTTACATATGAGTGCATTTCGTCTTGGAAAGTTTCTTCACACTTTCTGGAGATTGCTCGATCACAACCACCACGACTACATATTTTTTTTCTGCTGCGATCTTAAAAATGTTCACGACGTCCTCATCTTCTTCTATTTTGATATGCGTCATTTTACCATCTATCGTACGCTCTTGTCGAAGAACTTGTCTGTCTGCTTTCACGCGAGTGCGACGTTCAACCTCTGCTTTCATTGTGGACAATGTGAACTCGTTTAATAAGCACTGACTGACAACCTTTTCGTTTTCTTTTCTTGCTATGAATTCGGTCTTCAATGCCTCGCTAGAATCAGCTGAATATTTCTCCTGTGAAATAGGCACGGATTCGTTATTATCAATTGAATATGTGTTCTGGGGTGTAGGCATGGATTCGTCAGCGTCTACATCAGTCGAATTATCTGCTTCTGTGGGAAAGTAGGAAACATAGTGCATATAGCCTCCTCCGCAGTGAAGCGTGCTCTCGGATTCTCTTGAAGCAAATTTCGTATTAGGTTCACCAACTTTTTATCGTCTTTGTGATATATGTGTTGATTTATGTCATGTTCGCCTCGTCTTATTGCCTTAATCTCCTGCTTCAATTCTGAACTCTCTAGGACGGGGTAACGGCTAATGAAATACAACACAACTCCGACACTGTAAACGTCTACTTTGAGATCGTATTCTTTCTCCTTGAGCTCCGGCGCCGTGTATGTACCGTCGTGAGAGAAAGACATCAGCATCTCTTCAGGCTTTACTGTCCATCCAGGTGAGATCTTAATTTTTATCCTATCCTTTGGCCTAGCAAGCCCCAAATCCCCGATCTTGACATGGATATCCCTGATTTGTTGTGGATTTTGATTTACGACGAAGATATTACCGGGGATGAATATCGCGATGTATCCATTTCATTTTGTGGATGGCAACCAGGCCGTTCAAAATTTGTTTAACTATCTGCTGGTAAAATCGTGGCCACCTTGGAGATTGGATAAACTAAGTGCCGCGTGGATTGTTCACGAATGTTTTTAGGTTTGCCGAACACAACTCCATTTGAATGCACAGTTTTCGTTTGTCACCAGCTTGCATTACCCAGCTATCGAAATATTTGATAACATTTGAGTTATTCAGCCGATACAAGGATTCTATTTCTCGATACTGATATTCCAAATGATCTCTATTGTTTACATCATAAGTCAAGATTTTTATTGCAAATTGTTTGCCTTCATTAACGCCTTCCTTTGTACACTTGGCCTTGACGACCTTAGCAAAGGTGCCTCTACCAATAATATGTTCAACGTCAAACTCCCGTTTACTAGCTTTAACAGCCTCTCTGATGTTTTCAAGCCAGATTATATCGTCCATGTTTTTGTATCTTTACTAAATAAATGTACTGAATATGATGTATGAACGAAACCAATCTGTCTTGTGATTAATGGATCACGCATGTCCACTATTAATTATTCCACGATAACGTGCAGTTCTTTAAAATTCTTTAGATCTGCGGGTGCACCTGAGATGCTGGGTAATTGATAAGCAGCCAGATATACTGTTCATGTATAATTTATAAAATTGGTTATAAAGTAGGGGTGTTGATTGCATGCTTGACTTTTGTATTGATTGGAAAGAACTTTACAGTTCTGGCATTGTTAAACATATGTAGCCTATGGTTTCAAAAGCCTTGCACACAAAAGTCGTATTCACCTGTTGGTTTTTACAATCATTCATGCATGCTAACCCATGCTGCGGGCTTTTCACAAAACTGCCAGCGTCTCTTCAATCATTTTAATTTATGACGAACCCATAATACAATGTTGATTTAATTAAAACACTGCTCGCGGTTGTTCAAATTTTCCGGCTGTCAGCCGGCGTCAAACGTGCTAATCGGGTGACTGGATTTATATATATATATATATATATATATATATATATATATATATATATATATATATATATATATATATATATATATATATATATATATATATATCGTCATCATGATATTACTTCATAATGACGGTGCAATAAATCTATATATATTATTTGTATTCATTCGTATAACGATTTGCGTTCATGGAAGAACAATTGCAAACAAAACGGGCGATTGAGGAATTAAAAACTGATTTATTAAGCAGACATTTTCAATATGAAGAGGAACTTGGTACAGGCAGCGAAGGTAAAGTTGTTAAAGTCGAACACAAAATTCATCGACAGAAATACGCCATAAAAATGCTTCGAAAGCAGCAAGGCGAAAACGGGAATTTGTTGAGCCGTGAGCAGAGCGGACGGGAACTGAATATACTTAAAAATAAAAGTTTATGCAGACAAAATATTGTCAATTATTACCATCATTTTGACATGACCAGCTCCAACAATCCATATCTGTGTATTGTACTAGAGCCCTGTGGAATTAGCTTGGGACAATTCGTCTACAACGAGGAGACAGGCGGCATTAAGTTTATCGCATCGCGACATTCATGCTGGTAATATCCTTATACGACATCATCCAGATCCACGACGAATCAATGATGGTTGTGTCAAGATCGCCGATTTTGGTCAAGCTAGAGAAATTCGGTCGGCGATGGACGCAGTAATGTTTCCTCGGTTTTCTTCTGATAAAGGAGGAATGGCGCCTGAAGTGCTACAACGACTACCTTACGATTACAAAGCTGATATATTTAGCGCAGGGTTTGTGATGCTTTCTGTCTATCGCTATCTTGAGAGAAAATTGAAGCAGCCATTGGGTCAGGATGCCAGCAACAAGTTACCTGGCCTAATAGATTGGCTGGAGCAAAAAGACCCGCAAAAACGCCCGACTGCCGCAAAGGCTTTAGAATGGTGGGCTCGATCGATCGAGGTCTTGTTTGTTAATGGCAATGCAGAGCAAGAGACCATCGTTGGCTCGATCGTTGGTAAGTGTCGTATTCTAAAGTTACTACAGCAATAGTGCGGGTTATTGTAAAATTGTTGCTTTCAAACAATCAAATTTTCTCACACACTGCTGGGATGCTGCACACGCAAGCCTGGCCTTTAAAATAAACACAAATATCTCAAACTAATTATCACACGTTAGAATAAACCCAATGATAGTTAGCACTACTGCAACTACATAATAGCTTAGGCACTTCCTACCAGTAGGGAGGGTGGGTGGATCACAGGTCAGGCTAGCATAAAAGTGATTCTCATGACCACCTGGACTTCACCCTTGATCTAGCCTGCTCGCAGGCCGTTGTCAGGCTACCCTTGATCCAGCCCCCCAGCAGTGCATAAGAAAAACATTTCTGCCTTTTTCTAGTCTACCCATTGACATTTGTTTCTCTCAGAGATATGAGAGATTTATAAACTTTTCTCCTGCAGATCAATATCACTCAAAATTACTCAACCTTTAAATAAAAAATATGGGGAAAATATGGACAAAATTATAATTTCATATCCTTTATTATGGTATCATTTTTATGCCCATGCACAATTGTAATTAGTTATCATATTTTTATCTTTCCTGTTGAGTGTCAAAACATAATATTAGATAAATAAAGTATTATAGTGGTCTTTCAGTAAGTAAATTTTAATTCCCCCTGAAATAAGCAGCAGTAAAGCTAGCCATGGTAATTAGTCGTGCTAATATATACATAGATACAGTAGATTTCAAAAGTTTAACCTCTTGAATGCCAGCACTATCCCTTGACGAGTATAGATTTGCATGACCTGTTGCATGCAATAGCTAGCTTTGCTACTGCCTAAAATGAGTGAAAAACGAATTTGATGCTGGATATTATGAGATGGCCTGGTCAGGTATCTGAGCATGTATTCCCCTGGCATGGACCATACAACCACCACCCTTCTAGAATTTGATGCAAAGTTTCCCTGGGAAGTCAGGCCCTATGACACAATAAAAAAGCATGCCATGGCCCATGCCAGACAGAGCCCCAAAATATTACAAAAGCCCAACTTGTGAAATGACTATTGTGTATAACTTTATAGGGTTGTGAGATTCTCAAAATCCATTCTGGAGTGAAATCTTAGCAAATTCACAGGAATATCATTACAAAGAAAGAAAGAAAGAGGAATACAAGATGTTCTCAAAATGGAATTGTTTAATAAATAATTTATCCCAAACAAAATACCAATAAATGTATATTATGGTCTGGTTAGATCTGTATTTCAATGAGTCATTTCAGAAAAGATCCACACTCCCCCAATGAGGAAAACTTTTTTCTGCTATCCAGAAGGGTTAAATGTATTTCTGATAGGTGTAGGGGAGTCAACTTCCAATATTCTCCATGGGGGTGGTCTGAATGTTTCTTGGAGTGACTGAAATTCAGATTCTTAGTTGCATGATTATGTTATTAAAGTTAGAAACAGGGTGTCCACGGGCCTTGAAAATCCTGGAAAGTCTTTTAATTGGAAAACAATTCCAGGACTGGAAAGTCTTTGAAAATCAGTAGAAGTCCTTGAAAGTCCTGGAATTAATTTCCTTAACCTCCAGCTGTGCCAACATTAGTGATATTGATTAAAATTACTGAATAAAGTGAATCAAAGAGGGGACAAATCCGTGCAATTTTCAAAGATTTTTCCCAGTTCTAGGTAGCCTTGAAAGTCCTGGAAAAGTCCTTGAATTTCACCTTCACCAAAGGGTTGACACCCTGTAGGAAATTGCAACAATGAGTGTAAATGTTATTTAATATATTTAATGAATGTGAAAATTGTTACATACAAATGCATTTCATCTTGGAAAGTTTCTCATTAAAGTATCTTATTAAAGTTAGAAAGTTGCAACAATAAGTGTAAATGTTGTTTAATATATTTAATGAATTTTAAAATGTGAAAAATTGTTACATATGAGTTCATTTTGTTATGATGCCGTAGCAGATTGTTAGAAAATATGAGTTCATTTTATTATGAGGCTCGTTATGATGCCATTTGGTTATGATGGCATTCACAATTTTTGAATTTACACTACACTATTGTGCTTAAAACTGTCGCATGCAACCTGCTAACAACTTGAGTTGTACTACGTAGTACAACAGTACGACTCAATTGCATGCGACCGTTTTAGGCAAAAGTTGTGTCGTGTAAATCAGCCTTAATACGTTTCTCATATTGACCAACGAAGTTACATTATAGAAAGCATGTTTAGTGCAAAATCTATAAAATAATGTCAAAATAAAGAGATTTTGCATGGTGAGTTAAATAACAGGCATGCACGTTTACGAAGATTGTGGCACAACTCGCATCACAGTTGTTAGGGCATGCTCCCTCCACAACAACATTGAGTTATTTTGGTTCATACTATTTAATGGCATAAAAATTCGTACATGTTCACATAAAGTTACATTAAGTTTACTATGGTAAAGTCAGTATGAATGTTATTCCCCTGGAACGTTTCATTACAGTGTCAGAGTGCTTGGAACTTGAAACTGAAGTATATCATGTGGATTCCATAACCGTCTCTACAGAACTAAATTCTTCAATTTCTAGATTATCATCATCTTCTGGTTGCTCGATCACAACCACCACGACATCACGTTCTTTTTGTGCTGCGATGTTAAAAATATCTTTGACATTGTCGTCATGTTCTATTTTGATACGTTTCTTTTCACCTTGTACCATACGCTCTTCTCGAAGAACTTGCCTGCCTCTTTTGACTCCGGTGCCACGTTCGACTTCTGCTGTAATTGCGGACAACGTGAATTGGTTTAAACAGCATTGACTGAAGTCCTGTTCGTTTTCTTTTCTCACAATGAATGGGGTCTTCGGCATGGATTCCTTTGCATCAGTCGAATCCTTTGGCGTCGTTTGTGTAGGAAACATATACTCCTTAGCCCTGCGAGCACTGAGGCGTGCGTTTGGATCTTCCTGAAGTAAATTGTTGATCAAGGTGCTCAATTTCTCATCCTTGTAAAATATACGTTCTTTTGGTTGAAATTTGCGTTGTTTTAGATCCTTCAATTCCGTATTCCATTCGTTCTTATTCTCGAGGTAACGGCTGATGAAATACAACATCATTCCAGCGCTGTAAACGTCTACTTTGAAATCGTATGTATCGTTCTTGAGCTCTGGTGCCCTAAATAACGCATTTCTTGAAAAATGCGATACTTTCTCAAGTTTTGGGACGATAGTGAGCCCTACTACCTCGTATTCTATACCAATATGCCTTGCAAGTCCAAAATCAGCGATCTTGACATGAATATCTCTGATTTGTTGTGGATTTGGATTTACGACGAGAATATTACCAGGGTGAATATCGCGATGTACCCAGCGTATTGAGTGGATAAAAACTAGGCCACTTAAGATTTGTTGAAATACTTGGTGGTAAAATCGTGGCGGGCCTTGAGCTTGGATAATTTCAGGGCCTCCGATTTTGTTTTCATAGACGAAATTCTCTAAGCTTACCGAACACAATTCCATTTGAATACACAGTCGTTGTTCGTCACCAACTTGTAGTAGCCAAGATGCGTAATATTCGATAACATTTCGTTTTGACTCTTCTGACAATTTGAACGTTACGAGAGCTTTGACTTCTCGCTCTTGATATTTCACTTTTGTGTCTTTATTGATAACTTTTATGGCATATGTTCTGCCTTCCTTTCTACAACTCGCTTTGACAACGTGGCCGAAAGCGCCTTTACCAAGTGGCTTATCACCGACGCAGTAAAACTCACGTTGAAAAGCTAAAGCGTATTTGATCTTTGTGAACTCTGCCGTCTCCTTATCCATGACGTTTATGAAGGTTGACATTCAAAACTACAGTATAAATATAGGCGAGTATCCTACCCGTTGCTAAAAACGAAGTGTCGTCCTGTGACAGGTGGCTTCCCAATAAAATATATTGCTTCCAAGAAAAGCAAACAGGAAGTTCAAAAAGATTAAACACAATAGTTTTATGATTAATTCAAGTTAGGGCAAAAGCATTGATGCATACCAGACAATTTCAGTATGGGACTCACTCAGGTTAGCGCTTCAGATTAGCGAAATAAACAAATTCTGTTTTATCTAGTGTTGCAACCCTATGGCGTCATCCATGTTTGACGAAGATGTTAACCAATGTTGTATATTTTTGCCATTTTTGAACGAAATAACATTTAAAAACTATACCATGCGCTAATTTGCCCTACATCATGCAATATTTTATTGAACGAAATGAAAGATCTCCTGAAAACGAATCATTTAATAAACAACTCATAAAGAGATTACCACAACTGTTTTCCATCATGCACACTTTATTTAATTGAATGTGATGTTTTTTTTATTTAGGATGATCTCCATATGGTTATCAGAAAACAACTTTCAAGCAACTCAGGAAAGTGAGTTGTGGCTTAAATTTACTGCAGTCTTTTTCTGGCGAGGTTCAGAGTTGACTTTCACTAACGCTAACCAATCAGATGTGTTTGATATGTCTGATTAACCAATCAGATGCGTTTTATATATCTGACTAACCAATCAGATGCGTACTAAGCCAGTGAGAGGTGCGGTAGTGGAAATCTAATCTGAACCTCGCAAGGAACCATTGCTATCTTAAGGTCCATTTCCACTCAAAATTTTCCGCAGAAAGAAAATTTGTAAAATGTGAAAATTTTGAACTTTTAACAATGATATTTTTAGAAAATTTTCTGTCCGTGGAAATTTTTCTTGAGTGGGAATGGGCCTTTAGACCTATAGGGCCGTTCTGTTTTATTTTCCCCTTTCCACTAGGAGAGAGCCATATATGGCACTCCAGCATTGCTAGTCTGGGAATTGCATGAGATATGTACTGTATTTCCCTGATATGTAAGAGTGTTTTCTTACTTATATAGGTATAAACGTATTGGTATCATTGGTGCTATAATGATTGTGCGAAGCATGGCTAAACCCAGGTTGGTATTTTAAGCAACCGCACTTTATTTATCTATAAATTCAGTATAAATTATTACAAATAGATTATAATAGTTGTACATGGCAGAATAACAAGAGGGCACGATGTTTCTTTCGCGGACAAATTCTTAAAATTGAAGAACCGTACAGGATTCTCGCAATATTTGAGACAACCTAGTTTATCAGTGAATTGTCTCAAACGTGATGGTCTAGTGTAGATAGGTTTCTACAATAAGTTTACGTGGTTTCACTGGTTTGTGTCTACCTGAGAAAGGCATTAAAGACTGTTTGTGATCCTTTAAAGGTGATCTTTTTTCAGTGAGCTCTGACTAAAACCAACTCTTATCTTTATGAATTGACTGTTTGCTCTATTATGTATTTAACTAAAACAATGTTTTGACTACTTTTATAGTCCTGGGGAAGACACTCCAATGGATTCAAGTAGTTCACAACCAATAATTGTCATGAACGAAAAACAAAAACAGGTAAGCATATATTAACATACCGTAAGAAAATTAGGAAGTGAAAAAAATACTGGTGGTCTACACTATAGACCCATTACAGCTAGTCCCGTGGGAAAAATTTCTTATCAAATAAAATTCATTATTCTCTTTAATGAGTAGCAATTTCAAGTTGTCTTCCAGATGTCATGCTTGAAATAGTTTTAAGATCAACTGCCATGGGTCTATATAAATTAGGAAACCTCAATGCAAGGTGATATTAGAGAGAACAACAATAAGAGCAACCAGGATAAGAGACGAGCAAGAATAGTATGCAACAAGAACAGCAACGTAATTCATTTTGTTTTACACAGGTGGTCAGTTTGTTGGATTTGGTCCGTAATAGCATCAATCGTGTTCCCGAAGCGGCTGCGTTGTTTTACGACGAGCTGGCCAACGTTATTGAGAAACGACAACTTGATCCAAAAACCGAGGTAAATTGTATGATGATGGTGATGATGATGTTGCATGGTGGCGATATAATGATGGTGATGGTGGTGATGATGATGGTCAGTTGGTGGTGGTGGTCAGTTGGTGGGTGATGATGATGTTGCATGGTGGCGATGATGAGGTGGTGGTGATGATCATGATGATGGTGGTGGTGATGATCATGATGATGGTGGTGGTGATGTTGGTGGCAGTGGTGATGGTGATGATGATGATGATGGTAATGATTATGATGGTGATTATGATGGTTAGTGATGGTGGCAGTGGTGATGATGGTGATGGTGGCAATGGTGATGATGATTATGATGGTAATGATGATGATGGTTAGTGATGGTGGCAGTGGTGATGGTGATGATTATGATGGTGATTATGATGGTTAGTGATGGTGGCAGTGGTGATGATGGTGGCAATGGTGATGATGATTATGATAGTGATTATGATGGTTAGTGATGGTGGCAGTGGTGATGGTGATGATTATGATGGTGATTATGATGGTTAGTGAAGGTGGCAATGATGATGATGATGCTCCTTAATGTTTTCCAGGCTTGGATCAGTGAGACGGTTGTTGGCGATTTTCAAGATGACTTTTTGATCGACTTGGAAACAGGATTACCGAAGTATATTTATCAATTTGTATGATTTAGTTTCCACTTATTCAATTTTATCTTTTGCTAAATATTTTTATATTTTTCCTCATCACAGAAGTGGACTACCCGTCGATTTTGTCGGCGCCCTTGACGATGCCGAAGAGGGCTGTATTGCCTTTAACTTGGTTACTTTGTTAATCAACTATTCCAGTAAATCATCAAGGTATATATGTTGTTGTATTAAGCTGCCAAATTTTTTATTGTTACTTCAGTAAGCATTAAAGGACAGCAGATGGGGGCAATTTTAGAAATGCTGACACTTATATATAGGAAGAAGCAAATTAAACCACGTATCTCAATGTTATTCATTTGAGTCAACTACTACAAGACTACTGCATATAATGAAAAAAATAAACATTATTCTCTCACTTGATAACTGCTTGTTGCCCATCGTCTGCTGCACGATAGTGCTTAATGGCGATAATCGGGTATTATCTTTAGAGGAATCTCGCCATTTCTTATATGTCAACTTTGTTCTCTATCTGTTTTAGTTCCAAAACTGTCGCTCCTGTTTGCTCGGCACCTCACTTCCGTCTATTGCGAATTTGTGAACAGAATCGAAACAAAGGAGGACTGGACGGAATCGACGCATTGTTAGGTGAGGATTGAATATTCATCCTCTAAATCTCTAATGTTTTTGGTCTTTTAAGGCCGGATCAAACGATGATGAGAGTGCATGAGAGTTGGCAGTCACGCGACTGCTTTAGGCTTTACAATCCGTCGGGTCAAATTCCACATTAACACAAGGGCGGATTTTCGTTTATTTAAAAGGAGGGGTAGAAAAATTTCTGGTGGGGTGCAAGCGGCACCACTCAGTGAGCTTTGGCAGGGGTTAAGCGTTTGGGTTAAAGCCTTTCACATATAATAGGAGGCGTGAAGCGTAATTTTGGTGGGGTTGAACACTTTATTAGAGGGGTTAGAGAGATTCTGGGGGGGTTAACCCCCCAATCTAATATTCTCCCAATCCTATTTCCAATCATAACCATTATCTTATCCCTAACCCTTCAGTAATCGTACTTTATCCTATGCCAAACCTTAGCAGTTGTCTTAACCCTGTTCAATTCTCCTTCAACTTCTCTAATTATTCTTTTCTTTCATGCAAGGCTGTCCTGTAGTGATGTTTAAAATGGAGGAGGTTATGGAAACATTCAGTAAACTAAGTGTTCCAGACAGAGAGCTTGTTTGTAGTTCATTGTTTTACTGTTTAAACTGGTACAGAGAGGTGAGTGATGATGTCTGGGAGGTGGGTGATGATGTCTGGGAGGTGGGGCTGATGTCTGGGAGGTGGGTGATGATGTCTGGCTGGGAGGTGGTGGATGACGTCTGGGAGGTGGATGATGATGTCTGGGACATGGGGGATGATGTCTGAGAGGTGAGTGATGATGTCTGGGAGGTGGGTGATGATGTCTGGGAGGTGGGTGATGATGTCTGGGAGGTGGGTGATGATATCTGAGAGGTTGTTGATGATGTCTGGGAGGTGGGTGATGATGTCCGGGAGGTGGGTGAAGACATCATCACCCACCTTCCAGACATCATTACCCACCTCCCAGACATCATCAACCAGGGTGGTGATGTCTGGGAGGTGGGTAATGATGTCTGGGAGGTGCGTGATGACAATGATCTCGAATCATAAGAGCTAACCAAAGGTAGAAGGAGGGTATGGTTACACAAGTTCTTCTTTATCTCTTCCAGTTGATCAATGCGTTCTCAAGTGAAACAGATCCAGAAATGAAAGGGAAAACACTAAGTCGTATTCAAAACATAACAACTTTACAAAATTCGTTGGAACAATGCTTGAAAGGTAAAGAACATTTCCTTTGCAAACTTTTTAAAAGAAACAATCCAAGACAGGCTGGCGAGAATCAACACTAAAAGATTACTCAGATTTGAAATATGTTATTATTTGATTTAGAAACACCGACATTCCTCCCACCGCTAGTTCACTTTGACACGGACGAGAACATGTGGAAGTCTACAACTGCTTCAAAAGCAACTGGAAAGAGAACTCGCGCTGGAAATTCAAAGTATTTTTAATTGTCTTTTTCATTACATACAGACGGTTGTCAGCTTCAGAAATGTTGACATTTAAGAGGACGAGCAAATTAAATGGTACATGAGTACATGTACATGACACATGAGTACTCTCATCTGTACATTCATAACTCGTTCACATCCATCAGAAGAACCTAAATCTCAGCAAAAATTGCAAGTGTAAACGAGCTTTAATACATAGAATGAGAATAATAAACATTATTTTCTCACTCTGATAACAGCAGGTTGACCACCATCTGTTGCATGATAGAACTTTAGTTAGCTATCACTGAATTAGTATTACCGTTCATATAGCCATAATTTGTATTAAATATTTTATTCTATAGAAATAAAAAAAATGAGAATGACCATGACAGGACTATGGACGAGGTAAATGGCAAAATACGAAGTTCATTTTCGATGAAATGATCCCGAAAGGGAATTTTCTAAATTTTCTTTATTTTATATCAAGTACATCGAGAAAGACAAAGACGATGCGACGGTTATTGAGGAGAAGAAGGAAAAAAGAAATTCAATATCCGGTGTCCTTAATTCATCAAAATACCGAGCCTGCTTCAGGTAAAGTAAAGTCCACGCACTTTTGCTTTGACACTAAAATATGTAAGTATTGTGAGAAATTTTGAACCACATACGCATTGGTTCCGCACTGATAATACATTTCATTGCAGAGAATTGGATCTGAATGTTTTTGAGATTCTCAAATGTGGATTGGTCTCCAAAGCAGTACTTGATTCAAATATGAATACAGAGGTACTGGTTTATCATTGAACTGCATTGATTGATATAAGGATATGATATTTTACTTCAAGGGTAAGAAACCATTGTATTGAACATGGAAATTGAACCATGTTTTATTTTTCAGAAAAAAGAAATCCTGCAGTTACAAGCACCTGAACTGTATTTCCTCCTCGATGATCTCGGTAACAAACTGGAGTACTCTCTGTCTTCTGCAAAAGCATCTTTTTTATGGGTAATGTTTCACATAGACATTCGTGCTCTTGACATACACACGTATAAACGCACAAGTTGTTACAAGTCTGCAAACAAGTTATTACAAATCTTTTCACAAGCTGTCAACAAGTTGTGTTTGCACTGCTTGTTCCCAGTTGTTGTAACAAGTTTGGATCAAACTGTTAACAACTTGTAACAAGCTTGATGGCATTATCAGACTTGTCACAATGTTGTTCTAACAAGTCTGTTAAAGTCATGATAAACAAGAATGTTACAAGGTTGACGACACAAGGTTGTAACAATACTGCTTGGAACAATCTTGTAACAAGCCTGATAATATCAACAAGGTTGTTACAAATTGTTAACAGCTTGTTCCAAACTTGTTGACAACTTGTGACAAGCAGTGCGAAGATTTTGCGTGTGTATAATTTGATGAAAACATCTAACCAATTATATTTCACCCATACAGCTTCACCAAGATAAACAAGTTGGGTTTTCACATCTTGCACAAAAGACAGCCGTGGAAATTATCATTTACGTTCTGAGTTTGTTGCCCGATCTCTGTCAACATTTGGAAGCTACCAGCGCGTTCTTTCAGGATCTGACAGATCAAAATGATGGCGTGATTGATGGACCTGGAAGCGATAGTGAGGAAGCAAAACTAATGGCCTCCTGTTTCGAACGTTTGTTTTACTGCATGGTCCAATTTTTCTCATGGTAATGTATTGGATTCTGATATTTTTGTGTGTGTTTTGATGTTAATATGTTATGTACTCAGGTGTATATAATGTTTTTGATGTTACTCTGAGTGTACATCCACACCGGGCAAGCTGAAAAGTTAGCCTGACTACGGTGGGAATCGAACCCGCGACCTTTGGGATACTAGTCCAATGCTCTGCCATCTAGTATCCTGGGTTCGATTCCCACCGTGGTCAGGCTAACTTTTCAGCCTGCCCGGTGTGAATACACACTCAGAGTAACATCAAAAACAGTATTTGATTCTGGGGGTTTTTTGTGTCACAGTGGTTAATGCATGTACCTTTCATCTCCGACCGAATTTCGATTTCTGCAGTTTGCAGTTTTCTGTTTAAAATTCAATCACAAGTCAGAAGAATGCTTCCAGTTTGACCCTGCCAAACAACTCAGGTTTTCTCTGGGGAGTCCGGTTTCTTTCTGTAGTAACACTGGACCAATACGTGTTTGTCCTTACTGGATCTGTAGGAGAACAGTTTAGAACTGATGGGCGGAGCTATCCACCACAAACATACCTGCTCAGTTTTTTGAGTGGGTGCTTAACTGTCAATGCATGATGCTTAGAACTTCAGTAAATAAAATCGAATCAGTTTGGCAGAATAACAACCTATGTATGCACTTATGTTGTCAGGTTGGACTTCCGGTAAAAAATGTTTTGATTTTCTGTTAGGTCTGGTTTTAACGCTGCATGCAACAAAAGTCATCTCAAAGCTGCGTTTGTCATTTTATGTTCGAGAACTAAGGTTTCCAAGAAATCACAGCCTGGGTTCCAGGAACTTGTCAGGTAATCAATATTGTGGGTGATTGATTATTATTGCTTGATTGATTGAATGGAATGAATGATTTATTAATTAATTGATTAATTATTTATCACTTTCGATATAGCCAAGCTTTTCGATATTTCGAACAGTTCTCTGGAACGCTTCCTTCAATTGGGACAGCAGTCACTTTGGTCAAGTTACTAACTGCAATAAAAAATAAATCTGATAAAGACACTACAGCGTTATCAGTATGTAAGTAGAATATGTGGATAAGGTCTCTTTGAGCGGCTTTCCTTCATCTCTTCTTGTTTGTGTCCAAATACATTGTCTATCACCCTACATCTTCTTTTGGTCTCTTCATTCCATAATGTCTGTGACTGGCTCTCCTTCATCTCTTCTTATTACCTGTCCATACCATCCTAGCCTTGCTTCCCTCACCTTTCCTGTAATGTCTACCACCCTACATCTTCTTCTGATCTCTTCTTTCTGACTGGCTCTCCTTCAACTCTTCTTATTACATGTCCATATCATTACTGCCTTCCATTCCTCATCTTGTCTGCAATGTCTACCACCTCACATCTTCTGATCTCTTAATTCTATAATGTCTCTGAATGGCTGTCCTTCATCTTTTCTTATTATGTGTCCATATCATCTCAGAAAGCAAGACAAGCAGCCCTATGGCCAATGGAATGTCTGTTCGTATCTCTTTCTTCCATCATTCAGCCTCTCTTATCAGATAATATAGAGGTTCAGATTTGAGTACCGTTACCTCTAACTGGCTCAATACGCATTTGATTGATTAATCGAATATATCAAATACATCTGATTGGTTAATCGAATATATCAAACACATCTGATTGGTTGATGGTCCCTTGATGGTAGCGGTAGTGGAAGTCAAATGTGAACCTGTATATTGTTTTTATCCAGCATCAATATGTGGCGAGTTTCTCAAACGAGAATGGCTACAGCCGGACGGACAGAGGGAACAAGGATCCAAATACAATGAAAATCTACAATATTTGCTACGGTACGTTTAAGCACCATCGTGCAGCAGATTGTGGTCAACTTTCAGTAATGTTAACTCTTTTCTTTATACTTATGTTGTAATCTTGTATTTGGAGGAAAATTACTATGGAACTGGGAGATTTAGATAAATTACGCTCTTATTAATGTCAGCATTTCCAACGTTGACCACCATCTCCTGAACTGAGCCATCAAAGTCTCATGAGGAATCCTCATCAGGGTCATCATCTACCTATACTATCCAGGCTCGTGGTTGGTTGATCATAACAATGAAAGACAATAAAACTATAGAAATCGTCTTTCGAAAGAACGAGTCACGAACAATGATCATTTTTGTTTCTGAAAGTCAGTCACAAAACATGATCATTTTAGGTAGATCTTTACCCCCCTCATCATGAAGAAACCTACGTGAGAACCTTGATGATAATTTAATTGTTTCGTAAATATAGGCATCATATTCTCCGTGCAAATGACCCTTCTGCCGTTATTGAAAGTATAACCACTGGTGCTTTTGCTGAACTACTGGACGAAAAGAATGTGTGTACGGCCTCGACTACGTTGCCTACTTTAACCAGGTAAACTCAAGACAGATTTAACAATTTGCTATTGTTTATTAATTTGCCCAAAAATTCATGATTAACGCTGTAGTGCATTGCACTTAATTACTAAATTATGTTTCATTCATTTCCAGGCCATCATTTCCAACATTTTATAAAACCATATTAGATTGTCTCGTAACGTACTTCAAGAATTCTCTGTCCGTGCCGATGAAACGTTCGGATTCATTGGAGGTTGGTTGTTTGGCAGTGCTATCCAGTTGAAATAACACAGTTTAGAGTAGGCAATTTCAGCTAGAGACTAAATTTTGATCTAGGCAAGAAGAACAAAATCTATCACCACAGCTAGAAAGAGCATGGTAAAATTAGTAAAATTGCAAAGTTTGGCATGCTCTTTCTAGCTGTGGTGATGGATTTTGTTCTTCTTGCTGAGATCAAAATTTAGTCTCTAGCTGAAACCATCTATTGACAGACATTGAGATCTATCTAGTACATTCGACATCTATCTATGAAAGTACCAGCCTATTCGACATCTATCTAGTAAAAATAAAGATATAGTTTTTTTTAATGTAAAAGGAAATCTTTTGATATTCCTACAGGTGAAAAAGGATAGACTGGTGGTCATCAATGTGGCTGTGAGGTTGTTTCATGTTTTAGTCAATCTTGCAAAGGTAAAATTAGTTTGACATGGAAGCTGTAATGCTTTGTGTCTGAACTACCTGAAAAAGACTACCGACACTTTCAAAACAAAGTTTCCTGTGAAGGCCTTGTTTTAGAAGTTGGTCATACAGCTCCTGACCAAGGTATTTCGCTCGGAACATGAAATGTTTTAAATCATTTTCAGGATGGTTATGACACAAACCACGACAGCTTATCCCTTGCCTATTTTAATAATTGGGAGGGTTGTAATGGCTGACAGACACATTAAACTTGTACTTTCAGGCTTTTGAACACAGATCAGTGCTAGGAGCAGCGCTAAAGGTGACGTTCAATTGTAAACTGAGTAAAACTTGTAGATCAATTTGGTTATGTACAGTTCCCCCCAAAATAGAAAATTTTGTCCATTTTTGTTGTAGTATGGTCGATTTTTTGTTGAGGCGTTCGTGAGTCTTGGCATGCCAGCGTTAGATGATATGCTTCGTACCAGCAAGGTTAGCTTGATGTAATTTAATTCATTGATCTTATTGATTCATTAATTGACTGATTGATCAATTCTAATTAACAATTAATTATTCTAATTAATTGATTCATCAAGTCTTCCCATTCTTAATTAGGATGACATTCATGGTTTGTTAAAAGTTTTCCAACAAAGTACGCGAAGTCTTCAACATTTTTGTGGCCATTCAAAGGTAAAAAACTTTTGACTTTTTTACACTTGCTTTTCCAATCCATATCTAAGAATATCACTTTTTGCACAGGTCACTAAAGATATTTCATTGACAAATCATGTTCCCGCGCTTAAAAAGTCTCTGGAAACTTTTGTATTCCGAGTCAAGGTATGGTTGGGTATTCGATACACTATTGTTTATCAAAATTTTATGTGAAGGCCATCCCTTACAACTGCTCTTGTCTTTGATATCCTCCCCAGGCCATGTTGGCGGTGAACCAGTGCCATGAAGCATTCTGGATAGGAAATCTGAAGAATCGCGATCTACAAGGCCAGGAGATAGTATCCCAACAATCAATGCGAGATCGGGAGGAGGAGCAAGAAGAGCCTGAGGAAGAGGAAGATGATGACGACGAGAATAGGGTAAGAGCCTGGGTACTAGGTTGAGTCATCGACGCAATTTATTCTATTAGAAGGATCATCCATCAGGACGCATTTATCTTAACAGAAGGAAACCTTAACTAAACTAACTTTATTTATACTGGATAGCATTATCAGTTCTAAACTGTTCTTCCTAGAGATCCAGTAAGCGTCATCTCTTATTGATCCAGTGTTACCACAGAAGGAAACCTAAACTAAACTAACTTTATTTATACTGGATAGCTCTATCAGTTCTAAACTGTTCTTCCTAGAGGTGCAGTAAGGATCATCTCTTATTGATCCAGTGTTACCACAGGAGGAAACCTACTGTAATTTAAACTGACCTTTTGTTTACTGGATAGCACTATCGGTTTTAAACTGTTCTCTCTAGAGGTTTAGTTAAGATCGTCCATTGTTCATCCCGTGTGTAACTACAGAAGAAAACTCAAATACTGGGAGAAAACCTGCAATGTTTGGTGGAATCAAACTGGAAGCATTCTTCTCACAAAATTATAATCAGACAAATTCACATTGCAGGAATCTAACCTTAGTCATAGAGATGAAAGACAAATTCACTAACTACTCAAAGTGTTAATAAGTGAGGAAATGTTTTATTTTGTATTTTAACAGAGCAATGATGATGAAGAAAGTAACGTTGGTGGTGATAAAGGTATAGTATTTTCACGAAAACTTTTCAATATTCAACTTTTTTCCCGTCTGTAGCCATTATAGATGGGTTTCTTTAATTAAGCTTTATCGTGCAGCCAATGATAGTGAATCTGCAATTATCCGAGTGATGAAATCGTTTTAATTCTTTGTCTGTATGTAATAGTCATATTTGGAGTCAAATTGAATTTGTCAATTACCGAATTTTGCTTTGCCGTTCAATATGGTTCAAATAAATGTCAATAATTCCGAAGTTCACTTCCATATGCTCATGGAAACCCATCGATAAGATCGATTCACGTAAAAACTTGGCCTGCTTCACTGAATAAGAATTTTTACTTTACAATTTTTACAAAATTTTTTTACAGTATTAAATACTGAAGCTATTTAATACTTTAGCTATTTGCTCGAATTGTCGAAGCACTTGCCGAGCAAATGTTAAAGAATTATTAAAGATCAAAAGTCTGCAAATATCGTCTTTTATTTACTTTCATCATGGATAATAAAATAAATTTTACAATCCATGCTTTCATTTATTTCAACAGGCGATCAAGATGAGGATGACGAATCGTGTAGCGAAAGTTTTTAGACTGGAGTTAAAAATCGCTTGCCTGAAAGAAATTTGATTAGAATTTATATTAACAATAAAGATTATATATATTTTATTTTATCAATGTAACAGATCATATTATATATAAACATGTGCACATTAATTCTAGGAATTCCCCGCTGACAATGCGAATATAATCGTCTGGCGTTAGTAATATGGTGGGACCACTGATCATGTAAAGTTTCAATTTTCAAGCACATCTACTGAGTCTCAGAGCAGAAATCTACAAAAAAATTTAAGATACTAGCTACATGCACATAAACTTTTACTGTAAAACTACAGTATTTTATCGTGTCTTTTTCTGTCAATTATTTTGATAGTCTACTTTGATAGCCTGTTTTGATACGGCCTTTTTGTTTGGGCCACTTGATTCTATTTTGCATATCTGTGTGTACAATCGTCTATGAGATTAACCGCCTTGTAAAACTCAAAAAACACTGTCACGCTAAGGCAAAGGATAGAATTGATGCAAAGGTATAGCCTCCCACTGTTTTTGCCGAGACCTTGCTCAGTATTACTGTGAATTAATAATTAATATCTATAACAGTAAAAGCGGTCAAAACGGCAGAAAATCCATCAACACGCTAGACATTTTCCACTTGGAATGATGTCACGTGATCGATTGTATTCAGCTGCGAGCTAAATTTCATGGCGAAGGAACCAAAACAAAGCGAATTTCTAGTTTCCCGAGCAGTTTAGCGGGTAAGTAAAGTAGATAGCTTTTCTTTATTGCTTGCAAATGGTTTTGGTTTTGTTCAAAAGCATTATCACCTAAGAGCTTTCGAGAAATTACAGGTTTTTGACCACATACGAGCGATGAAGATTGACGATAAATCACTAGCCAGCATATTAGTGGTTTAAATCGGGCTTGTGAGTAATATACCGCAACTGTGCGCTACTTGTGTGGGACTTCACGGCCGTTTATTGTCTCGAAATATTTGTTCACAAACCCATTTACACCTTAGAAACTCTCAGCTTTTCTTAAGTTCAATCAAACATACGACTTCGCAAAACTGATTAACTGTCATTCTGTCATAAAAATTCAAATGAGATGAATGGCTATATTGGGCCTTTATACTGGCGCTTTCCTTTGGTAAATATTCATTTTATATTTCTTTACTGTAGATAACAGACTACAGTATGGCTTGAAAACATGAAGGAAGCGTCGTTTTTCGCCTGGGAAGCAAGATTTTAAAGTCATGAAGAAATTTAAGCGAGCATTCTCGTTTTCAGAAGCTAGTCGTGGACGGCACTTTGACATTACTGAAACGATTGACGAACATTCTGAGCACTGTACTACAGAAGATGGCAGTCAAAATGGGCATAAGAATGGCGGTAAATATCCTCGCAAACTAACCGCCTTTAATAAATACGTGTTAAATTTCTAGCTGAGCTACAAGCTAGAAATTTATAACGTACGACAGCCTCAGCATATATAGTAAATTGAAGTGAATTCAAGTAGGCATTTACATAGAGCAGATTTGTCAACACGTTTTGCTAATTTTTATTGCATGCCCGTTCAGGACAAACCATAAGAAATCTGAGCTGTGTTTACGTTTTGTAGAGTTTCAAACAATTTCTTGGCAGCTCGTTAAGAAATTTGAAGCTTAATAATAGCTGTCTATACAGTTCATTTATATTTGCGATCGTTGATTAACATAGATTAGCCTTCAGACAACGGACAAAGAATTGAAGACAAAAGCGCGTGAGATTGATTGAGCTTTTGCCGCATTTGAACACGAATGTGCAGAAATTGCAAACAATATGCATTTTGGGCATTTGTTTGTACGATGTTGTTTCAAGATATTTCATGTTTTTAGCCAAAGCTTATCATTGCATGCAGTGGATTGTATTGTATTTGCGTAAACCCGATCCCTGTTGTGTAAACCATTTTGATTTCCTGCTTCCCTAGTTCCCTGGCTTTAAATAATCACCAGAACATATCCGCATTTACAGATCCTTTTTCTGAAATATATTATACAACATTTTTTTGCCAGCTGTGGAAGCCATTAAATGTGGGAAATTTGAGAAATTAGAACGCCAATTTGTTACAAACTATATGCTAATTTCCACAACCTAGTTTACTATTAATTCGATGACTCCTTTGTAAACATCACGAAATCCTATATCGCATAGAAACGGCACGATTTTATATAATTAACTACTTGCTTGAAATATCAGATGACAAAGTATTGATTTCAGAAGCACATTGAAGGCTCGCACTCGATAACATGAAAAAGTTTGTTTATAATTTCACCGTAAATGGGGAGACCTCATGTGTATGCGGTTTCTATTACAAGCCGAGCTGTGGATATTTTAATTGCTTTGCATGTTTGGGCTAAGATCCAAGCTTAATAAACATTCTTCAAATGGTTTTTGCATATTTTGTAAAAATAGATCGGATTATGTAATCAGTATTCTGCTGTTTATCACTGCTGATATTGTTAGTCTGCCTATATTTGCTACCATTACAATGATTTGCATACTATTACCATATAAAAACATTGCTTAAACGAACAAAAAATGTTGTTGACTATTATGGTATTATATATGAAAAAAGCATGTAAACATTTTGACATATTATTGCATTCACATCACCGTACATGGAATGTACTGTAATTATGTAATATATTGCACAGGAATCCTTCTAAACACCATTGTACTGTAATCCAGTCACATGAGAAATTTTGCTGGTCTATAGGGAAATTTTGGCTAGTTCCTCAGGTAGAGGAGAACTGATCACGTGATCGGCTAGTTGTGTTGTTTGTTGCGTCAGATATAACCCAATCCTTAACCCTAACCCCAACACTAGTCACCATAACTAACTGATGACGTAATCTGTGATGCAAATTCTTCTACCCGAGGAAGTACCTGAAATTTTGCTGGTTCTGGAGCAAAGTTTTCCTTGACAAGGGCTGAACGAGAGACGAGCCTACAGGAACCTACATTTGATAGAATGTGGAATCACACTTGTCCCCTACCTAGTTATGTTAAGCCGGGTTCACATATACTTGTGGTATGTTGGGGGTTGTCGTTAGCTGTTCAACCAAATAATTCACAAAAGAATGTATGCATCAACAGCTGTAAACAATGATACTGCAGGCATATGTGAACCAGGCTTTTCTCTAATGCCAGACAATATTATCCCACCAAGGGGATTAACAGCATACTATATCATTGGTCTAGGTTATACATGCATGGTTCTTAAATGTTCCAGACTGGGTAATTTCATGTACAATATTTTTTCCCAGGTTTTCAGCCAACGTATTTGCATGGAAAATCTGAGGACAATATCCATGCCTCGGCAGATCAAGTTTCTCCGTCATTCAGGACAAAATTTCCTAGACAGCGGTCAAAAACGGTGAGCTGAAAATATTTTAAGTAATCTACCATCATTTGCTTCTAAGAATGAATAGTCGCAGATAAAAATCATGGGCGGATTCACTGGGGGTTTAGGAGGGGGGGGGGGGGTTAAACTCCTCCTAGAATCTCTCTAACCCCTCTGATAAAGTGTTCAACCCTACCAAAATTTCGCTTGACCCCTCCTATTTTGTGTGAAAGGCTTTAACCCAAATGCCTAACACCTGCCGAAGCTCACTGAGTGGTGCCACTTGCACCCCACCAGAAATGAAAATCCACCCTTGATAAAAACATTGTCTATATATACTCATGTGAAACTTAAGTACTGTATGTTTACCATATTCATAATTTCCAGTCAGTAGCGTAGCCAGCCCGACGATTTAGTCCCGCTATGCAAATATTTTCGTGTTCATTGACTGTGAAAACAATCAATTCCCAAAGAAATGAATAATGATAATAATTTTGAATTTACATAGCGGGACTAAATTATCAGGCTGACTACACCAGTGTTTCCAGTCCTCTATTTGACCTGGTTTGAAACCCAACCACGGCAGGCACAATTTTCTGCTTGCAAAGTTTGGACTCGTTCATTCAAGAACATTTATACCTATCCTAAGTCTGTACATATTGTAGCTGTTAATCCATCTGTCTAACACCAGACAATTTTACTTGTCAAAGGGTGGGCACTAGTGCTCTTTGGGTTAAACAGTTGCCATCCTTCTGGTGTTTCATTTATGACGAATGCCTAACTTTTCCATTTTCAGGAGGGCAGAGTGAAGCTAACGAAAAGGTTATCACTACCGTCACTTGATTTTTCAAGTGGAGTTTCACCAAAATCAAAACATAAAAATAAAGTTGTCAGTCCTCCACTTCAAGAGAAAATGTCAAGAACAGAAAGAAGATTATCACTGGCAAGTTTACATACAAGTCTTCGTAGCAATATTTTAACCCTTAATTGGTAGTGTGCAAACATTACTCATCAGGGAGAGATCAAGTGTTGCCACTCAATGGTTAAAACAACATTAACTCATTGAGCCACAATGCGCCCCAGTGCACCCTACTTTTTTTACTTGTCTAATGCCAGACGATTTTATTCATCAATGAGGAAGCTGTGCAGCTTAGTGCATGGGTTAAAGTTAATAAAGGTGCTTTAATATTACTTATTTGTACCTTGATCTCAATGCTAACTGAACGTTTTTTCATGCACTTCTTGTACGTTTTAGTCTGAAATTGGATTTGGGAAAAGTGAAACATATACGAAATTGGACAAATTAGGAGAGGTCTGTACACTTGAACACAATTGTTTGTTTAAATGTTCCTGAAAGAATGTTCTTTCTAATATGCAGCACTCAATTTCATACAGTAAGTTAATTTGTAATTGTTTGATCTTTTTATTAGGGAACATATGCAACAGTCTTTAGAGGAAAAAGCAGGTACGCTAAGGTTGATTTTTAACCCATTACGTTGTATTGCATCCTAATGTCCCCTACAGTACATTATTATTAATTTCACTCTGTTAAACACCAGACGATTTTACTTGTCAATGGGAGAGTGCTGGTGCTCAATGAGTTAACATGCAGCCTTCAATTAAAGTTGTTAAAAAATATCTTTTTCTTGTACATAACATAGGCTTTCTGAAGTGATTGTCGCATTGAAAGAAATTCGGCTGGAGCATGAAGAGGGTGCCCCATGTACTGCAATAAGAGAAGGTATGGCGAAAACAAAGCATAAATTGTGAAGGCATGAGATAACAAACTTAGAGATTTAATTTATGCGCGCAGAGGCCACGGAAGCATTTCGAAAGTGGAGGGGCATTGGCCAAAAGGGGCACTTTTGTATATATGACCAAAATCAAATGATTTTATGTCGTTCGTGAGAACATTTTTGAAAATATGGAATCTCTATAACGTTGGAAATGGCCTTTACAGAATCGTTACTACTGCAAAAAGGGCACTTTCCAGCAAAAGAGAGCATTCATTGAAGAAATACTTTTTTCATTCTTTAAATGGGGCACTTTAGCCCAGAAAAAAGGACACTTTTTTCACTTTTAAAAGAAGTGGGGGGGGGCACATGCCTCCATTCTCCCCGGTTCCGTGGCCCCTGTATGTTCGTAGTATTCTACATCTACATCAACCAGAATCAATCCCTAATCATCTACAACAAATCATTCTACAGTCTATGGAGGTACTGATATTCTGTAATTGTTTTCCTGCATACTGCAGTTTTTTTTGGGCATAGAGATGTTACTTGTCCATGACTGACTTTTTTCTTAATACTTGTCTAGTTTCACTTCTGAAAGATTTGAAGCATGCAAACATTGTAACACTTCATGACACTGTACACACACCAAACGCTCTAACGTTGGTGTTTGAATACTTGGTAAGAATCTTCAAATGCTTGGAATGTTATGAAAAGTGTAGTGCAAGGCTGTTTTCCATTAACAAAAACATGTGAGAATTTAACATGTGTAATTATATTCTGTTCATTCTTTGCCAGGAACGAGATTTAAAATCGTACATGGATGATTGTGGTGGCATTTTAAGTATGACGAATGTCAGAGTAAGTCTTTGTAAATTTAAATTTTAAGATATTTGTAACATTCAATCTTTCCAGGGTTCCCTTTCATAACTGCTATATGTATATATATAGAGAGAGAGAGCAGGGGGGCATGTTGAGGAGGAGTGGGAATGTTGCCCCACACAACCTCTCTGCAGCTGTGTATATATGTAACACTGCCCCAGTGTTCCATATTGTGTTCAATTGTATTCCTAATATATGTTCAAAACCTTAGTCACTTTTTGTTTTTAGTTATTTTTATTTCAATTACTTCGTGGTTTGGATTACTGTCATACTAGAAAAGTACTACACAGGTACAGTAGTTTTCAGTCGCAAACACTTCACGAAATATTGGAGACTGCATTGCTAGGTGTAGGTAGCTACCACATGACCGTAAATGTCACACAATAGACACTGTAGGGAGAATTTAACCTTATATTTTCCAGGTAGTTGCATCCCTATGAACGAAAACTGGTTCATTTGATTGGCACTACCTACAGTACACTTGCCAAAGACAGTTTAAGTTTAATCCATAGTCTACACACGTAAAAATCTCACCTCTTGTAACAAGTCTGCCAACAAGCCGTCAACAAGATGTATTCGCACTGCTTGTCACAAGTTGTCAACAGGTTTGGAACAACTTGTTGATAACTTGTAACAACCTTGTCAAAATTATCAGACTTGTTGCAAGGTTGTTCTGACAAGTCCGTTACATTCTTGATATAACAAGATTGTTACAACCTTGTGTTAACAACCTTGTAACATCCTTGTTATTTCATGGCTGTAACAAACTTGTTAGCACAGTCTTGTAACAAGGCTGATAATGCCATCAAGCTTGTTACAAGTTGTTAACAGCTTGTTTCAAACTTGTTACAAGTTACAACAAACTGGGAACAAGCAATGCGAACACAACTTGTTGACAGCTTGTGAACAGACTTGTGACAGCCTGTTTGCAGACTTGTTACAACTTGTGCATTTTTACATGTGTACCATGCTTTCATGGTTGAAAAATAATTGTCACAACTTTGTTACACAGTTATTCAGCCGCCAATGAAAGGTTTTCATAAATTATTTGGTGGTGGCGGCATTTGTCTGCGGCGTTGCCTCATACTGCATATGTACTACTTGATCAGTACAAAATTAGTACAATACAGTGCTCAGTATTGTAAAATACATTTGGTTAAATTCTAGTTCCTTTTTAACAGGGATTTAAAACCTCAAAATTTACTCATTAATGAAAAGGGAGAACTTAAATTAGCTGATTTTGGTGAGTAACGATTTGAGTCCCATACTCCCATTGTGCTGCAGTTATGCTAATAGCGACCACAGAGTAGAGACATACAGAGACGTAACTAGTGTACCCACTTTTTTTGTGCGCATGCTCGACAAGTTACTAGATGCATGCATCTGATTGGATGACGACCTGATGACGACTCACTTTAAACTTGCTGACCACGCGCAGTTGATCATTTTTCGCCCGGTCGCCTGAAAAAAAGTGGGTACATGATAATGTAATCTTCCGCAGTGTTTACAACGGTCAGTTACGTCTCTGTATGTCTCTACTCTGTGTAGCGACGTTCATATTTTGATCTCCACTACCACTAACCAATCAGATGCATTTAATCAAGTCGATTATCCAATCAAATGCGTAATAAACATGTGTGAGGTAACGGTAGTGGAAGTCAAATCTGAACCTCTCTCTTTCAAGACAGGGACCAATAAATGAACGAGTGATCTATGAATTTTTTAGGTCTTGCGAGAGCGAAGTCAGTCCCGACAAAAACGTATTCGAATGAGGTTGTTACGTTATGGTAAGTTAAGCGCAGATCAAACAATGATGTCATGATGAGAGTGTATGAGAGTTGGCAGCCATGCGAGTCCTCAACCTCGTTCCCAGGCTCTTTCCTGGGAACGAGGTTGGCGAGTCCCTTGGTTAGCTGCAGTCCTGGAAAATGTCCGGCAACGCTGCCAGGAAATTTTTCACAAGATATTTTCGCAGGAAAGTTTCTTACATGTTGCACAAAATTTTTGTCATATATACTGGAATATCATATAATTTACTTACTGTTTAAAAATTCCCAAAGCATTTTGCAAGTCGAGATTGTCTTGCGCCGGGATTGACGTTTATCATAATGTGCGCCGCCATACATTATCTGAAATCTACACATACAGGAAATTCTATATTTGATTCTATATTTTGCTGTCAGGAAGAGAAATATAGTTTCTAGGCCTGCTTAATAGCTGTTCTTCATGCTTTCCCAACACTATCATGTATTCTATTTAAAACATAGTTGGAACATTCGTCAAACCTTAGTTAATCTATACAGTACTGTACTCTGTAGAACTTAAAATGTCCCTGTATAACAATGCGTGACCGCCAACTCTCATCAATGTCATCCTTGTTTGGTTTGACCGAGGCTTTATGCATACTGACATTTGAGTGAGAATAATCTTGAAGATGATGTTTGTGATGTTACTCTGAGTGTGCATCCACACCGGGCAAGCTGAAAAGTTAGCTTGGCCACGGTGGGAATCGAATCCGCGACCACATCAACTCGAACCGACTTGACCATGTAGCTCAGTTGGCAGAGCATTGGACTAGTATCCCAAAGGTCGCGGGTTCTATTCCCACCGTGGCCAAGCTAACTTTTCAGCTTGCCCGGTGTGGATGCACACTCAGAGTAACATCACAAACATCATATTCACCTGAGTACATAACACCAACAGGCAACACGCACAAATAGACAAATTTTGAAGAGGTTTGTGATGTTACTCTGAGTGTATATCCACATCATATTCACCTGACTACATAACACCAACACAGAAAAATCAATCTTGAGGATGTCTGTTAAAAATTGGCGCTTATTATTTGCAGGTATCGACCTCCAGATGTTTTATTAGGATCAACTGTATATAATATGTCTATTGATATGTGGTGAGTTTGTTTCCATGCTTTTATATATGTCTTGTAATTAAAATTGAAGCTAAAGTAGCATAGATCGTTATTCGCGTTCGTTCTATAACTCCCTGTCAAGCTTCGATGCATGAGCTTGTGGTTAGAGAACAGCTGTGTCTAGCTAAAATATATTTTTCTTGATGGAGGACTCCAGCTGTAGACGAAATTTTGATCTCGACAAGAAGAACGAATCCATTACCACAGCTGGAAAGAGCATCTTAAAATGAGTAAAATTGCAAAGTTTGGTTGCGAATTGTTGTAAAATGAGGAAAATATAGCCCTGTGAAGTTCGCAAATTTTGTATTTGCAGTACACGCGTGAAAAATAACCATTTTTGAGCCGAAAGTGGTTATTTTTACCGCGCGTAATGCAAATACATACAAAATTTGCGAACTTCACAGGGCTACATATTTTCTTTATTTTACAACATTTAGCAACCAATCTTTGCAGTTTTACTCATTCTAAGACGCTCTTTCTAGCTGTGGTGTTGGATTTCGTTCTTCTTGCCTTGATCAAAATTTAGTCTAAAGCTGGAATCACCCATTATGTTTTTTTCTCCTCCCAGGGGTGTAGGATGTATATTTTTTGAAATGGCCACTGGCAGGCCTATGTTCCCCGGAGGAACTGTAGATGAACAGCTACATCTTATTTTTAAAGTGAGTACATTTGGATCGATGTCGTTTAAACAGTATTCGAATTCGCTTACTCAGCCATTACGAACACTTTTTAGCTTTTAGGATGTCCAAACGAAAAGGTTTGGCCAGGAATACTTAATAATCCCAATTTTAAAGAAGGTATGACTCAGCTCTTTCCTTTCTTCTGTAGTAAACAAGACTGGACCAAGGGATGATCCTTACTGGATCTCTAGGAAGAACAGTTTAGAACTGATAGAACTATCCAGTATAAATAAAGTTAGTTTAGTTTAGGTTTCCTCCTGTAGTAACACTGGATCAATAAAAGATTATCCTTATACTGGACCTCTAGGAAGAACAGTTTAGAACTGATAGAACTATCCAGTATAAATAAAGTTCGTTTAGGTTTCCTCCTGTAGTAACACTGGATCAACAAGAGATGATCCTTACTGGACCTCTAGGGAGAACAGTTTAGAACTGATAGAGCTTTCCAGTATAAATAAAGTTAGTTTAGTTTCGGTTTCCTTCTGTAGTAACACTGGATCAAAAAGAGACTGCTTTACTGGACCTCTAGGAAAGCAGTTTAGAACAGAACACGTCCTAATGCCATTTGTTTATTTTATTCAGGAAATTTCCCGAATTTTCCAGCACAACCTTTAATAAATAACGCACCAAGGTAATTTTGAAAAATCCGTAAAATTATGTTTTCATCTCAAAAGGTCGATTCCATATTTACAAATAAATCATACTTTTCTAGACTTGATGGCGATGGTTTAAATCTACTCTCAGGATTTTTAGATGTAAGTAAAAGAGGAGCAAGTAAATACTAAATTACCTAAATGTTAATATTGCTATTTTCATTTTTAGTATGTCGCAACTGATAGAAAATCCGCGGCAACTGCGATGAAACATCCCTATTTTAAATCATTAGGACCGGGAATAGAACATTTAAAAGATGGTATGTCATCTTCTCCTGTTCAGTGCACATGGAGAGCATTTCTCAAAATAATCTCATGTGTTAAAGCCTCCTATGGCAGAGACCTTTGTGATTCGTATTTCGCTTTTCTAACATATTCTACCTTGATGTAGATCAATCAATATTCACGTTGGAGGGCATTAAACTTGCAAAGGATCCTGGGAATGGAAGTATGCGTCGATCAATAGGAATGGGTAAGAGACACATATTTGGCAGTGGCGGGTACATCGCGAAATATTGGGAGTGGGGCGAATTAGGTTCCCCACACCACCGGCTTTTTACCTTCAATTTCATGCAATGTATAGCTCATTAACAGGAATAAATATCACTTCTTGTTTCAAAAGAAAATTGAAAAAATATTTGATTGAAAACAATGAGTGCATGTACAATTCAATAGGAGCTTCATTTATAAGAGACTGGTCATAAAGTAACTGCTAGGGTGGGCTGGAGGTAAATCACAAATTTTGCCAATAAGTTTGGTGACCCATCTTAGGATGAAGATAAAAATTTCAAAGCCCATCTAATCTTACAAAAAAAATTTCATGACCCACCCAATTTAAATTGGGAAAATACACTTTTATAATAAAAAAAAACTTGCAGGTATGAACATTGTAAATATACACCGGCACTGTATTGACACACATAATTCCACCAAGCTTGACCAACACATTCATCACCAATTACGATACTGAGCTGCTCTCCAGTTGGTTGTATTTGCTGTGATTCGACCACTTCTTGTTGTTGTATAAACAAAGTACTGGCTTCAATACCGTCATTTGCATTTGATAATTTGGATAGCTTTGTTTACTTTTATTATTAATATCTTTATTTTTTGAAGTAGACATGCATGGGTTTTTGTTTGGTGGCCCAACCGTGGACATACAAGAAAATTGGCGGCCCATCGAAACTCTCCAAAGATTTTCCATGACCCATTCCAAATCACTCCAGCCCACCCTAGCAGTTACTTTACGACCGGTCCCTAAACAACAAAACAAAACAAATTTTTTTTTTTTGAAAAAAACCTAACTTTGTTCTGAATAACAATGAGATGGCCTCGGAATAGCAATGAGATGGCCTCCTAATACAAGTCTTTGACTTCGCCACTTTCAATTTGACATACTACATATTACAATAATCAATGTAAATAACTGAAAATAAATAACTGGTAAATAAATTGAATTGAATTAATTTATAGCCTTACCAATGCTTTCATGGTTGCAGCTTTGGTTACATTTAGCTATCATTGAAAGGCTTTCAGAAATTATGGGGGGGGGGTGATTGCCCCTTCCCTAGTGTCCTCCACCGATCTTTGGTTTACACTCTATGATCCTAGCTTGTTCGGTTTTACTTTCACCTCAGTCCCATCTGAGAAGAATGCTTCCAGTCTCGATCTGCTTTCCTCCTGTAGTAATTTAATTATATTCAAGTACATGCAGCTTCTGTAAGATTGAAGGAAATTTATATTTAGGTAAAAGACGACAAAGTATGTTGTTCTAAGGTGGTGTTGTAAATGAAAATGAACCCATGATCAATTCAGGGAAGTATGCGATACTCGACTCTAAGTAGAATTTTTAAAATGAATATAGATGTCTATAAAATATGCACATGGTTTTAAACGGAAGAGCTTATAAAATCGTCTGGTGCTGTCCAGAGAAAGCCATACTTTTTTTGATAGAAATAATTGTTAATGAACAGTAGAAACTTCGCAAAGATAATTGACAATGAATGCACATTAACACTTGAATGACATGCGTGCTAAACTTGGTGTATATTGTACATAAAAATATAGATATATAGTTATACACTTATGGTGTCCAAATATGGAACACTTAATTAATATTTTATATGGAAAAACTTGTTCTAATTGCAATAATGAGTTTTATGTATAACTAGTGGAATATGATTTTCAGTAAATTGCCTGAATGTATAGACGATGATGTCTCATATCAGACATTGGTCGTTTATATTTAATCAGAGTAATGGATAATTTATGGCACTTTCTCGATATCTCCGCAACCGAAATCTGTTATATATTATACAAATAATGAATGTTTATGAGTGCAATGGTAAGAATATTTTCATGAGGTGAAAGATGGAATGTTCCATTCAACGAGGCGACAGCCGAGTTGAATGGAACATTCCATCTTTCACCGAATGAAAATATTCTTACCATTGCACGAAGAAATATTCATTATTTGTTTTATATAATACCAAAATAGAGTAATAGATTCGTATGAGAAGCATTTTGAGGGATGCGATTTATCGAAAACACAAAGAGTGCAATTGTACTATTACGTTTTATTCCATTGCACTCGCAGAGAGTGCAATGGAACGTATTTCATTGCACTCTTGGGAAATGGAATTTTCTATTCAATATCACGTGACCATAAACAGCCAATTAAACGATCAGAATTCAATAAGGTGTTATATAAAAATTAATATACACCGTTATTCCATGTGACTGATTATGTAAGCAAACGTAATACGAAACACGACACTTCCGTTATGTCCGCATTCACGTCAAATTCTTGGAATGACTTGGAATTCAACAATCAACATCGACCCTTTGCGCGTGTCGCTGGAAGCATCTGAAATTGGCCTTCAATCAATTCCTTTACTGGATGAACTGAAAGTGAAACTTTGTAGAGGTAAATGATTAACATAGTGTGTGATCTTTAGTCACAAACTTAGAAAATAAAAGTTGATAAAAGTTGCAACTCTCGCTTGCGTTTGAGCGACAACTCTTATCAACTGTCATGCACTCCCGTTAAGATGACAACTCTCGTCAAATTTCAGCTGGGTCAAATTTCAATAATATCTAGTCAACCTTCATCAAATTTCGTGCAGCTTTTGTTCTCGTTTGACGAGGCACAAGAGTTGAGGGAACTGTCAAGCAAACTCTCGTTTGTGGACCTCTTGTCACCAGGGCCTCGAAATCTTCACTATCGTATAGGAATTGATGGTATAGGAGTGGATGCTAAAGTGAAAAAGGTATATTGAAGCAAATAGAATAGCTTGTGGTTTAGGGCTTGTGCGTATGTGTGATTTTGGACTCTTGGTTACGGAGACATCTGACGTATGCCGAGCAGTACGACTGTTTACTGTGGCTCAAATATCAGACTGGAATCATTCAGTCGCTAAAATTGTGTTTATTTCATGTGTAGAGCACAGAAAGTCAGTTTAAAAAGAGATTATGATATATTTTTATCGAACATATGAAGAGAATCTCATTAACAACATTTGAGTTGCTTTCAACATTGTTTAAGTTTTCTATGTACATAATGTGACCACGTGTTAACTGTGTCAATAACGCATTAAAACCCGGATCAAACAATGATGAGAGTTGCAGTTGTGAAAAAGTCACGCGACTTTGGTTAGCTGTTCTTAATGCTTTCCCAACACTATCATGGTTTTATTTAAGTTAAAACATAGTTGGAACATTCATCAAACCTTTATTTTGTTAATCTAGAGCTTGAAATGTTCCCTGTAAAAATTTGTGACTGCGAACTCTCATCACCTCTCCAGGGCTTAAAAAATGCCCGACATCTCGGTATGAATATTCACGAGTTTGGTTGCATGATCAACTTACCTGAGAACTTGGATGTTTTGAGCAAAGACCACTAACTTGCTACTTCAAGACGAAGAGCCTTCGTTTAAAACATCAAAGTTCTCTTTATATTCTTAAGTATAGTTAAAACCAAGCTCATGAATACCCAACAATCAAGACAATTTTAACCGCAGCACCGCGTCAGTTCTAACTGGAGTGGAATACTCGTTGCCTTTCAAACTCCGGGCAACTAAACTTTCCAAGTTCACTAATGCTGTATAGGTCATTCAACCTACACGTTTTGAACGTTCTTTCTAGAATCCTTTATCCCACCCACTTCATGTTGTATTTTTGGCCATATTTGTTTAACCATGTATAGAATATATCTTAATTATCTTTGTGCAACTTCCGCGATGTTCACAATTCGCCAAGCGACGCACTGAAACACTTCTAACAATATAAAGAGACAAAGGATTGAGTTCCTGTATGTCAAAACACTTTTAGATTGCCTTGGAATACAACTGCTATACATGTAGGAGAACGCATTCATCAAAACGCCTCCGAATTCGCTTGGCTGAGAATAAGCACTTGCAGACGTCCATCACAGCACTTTCAAATCATCTTGGTGGAGCGACAACACTGTATTATAGCTGAAAGTTGAGTGAACTCTGTCAAAGTTTTTTCAAAAGGTGAGAAGTTTGACAAAACGAAAGTGTCTCTGAAGAACCGAAGAATCTCTATATCAAAGCATCTTCAAATCGTGCTAACAGAAGAAGATGAAAGCGAAGAAAGTTTATCAGATTTGTCTGGTGCTTTGTGGTTTATTCCTGTCGCTCAGTGGCATAGCATGTCTAGTCGTCGCTACCTTACTCAATCACGATTCTGACTTGAAAGCGAGCCTAGAGTCAAAGGCTCGCACGTATGGCACTCAATATTGGCTTGGCATGCCGGTGAGTGGCTCAATTGGCATGAGATTTTGAAGCTGGCATGAGATTTTGAATCAAACGAGCATGAGAGTTGACGAGAGTCACGACTGAGGCTTCCAACTCTCGCTTGACGCCACCTTTCATCGACTCTCAGCAACTCTCATCGAGCTGGTTCAAATTCGATGAGAGTTTATTTCTCATGAGCGGTATTTGCTTACATTTTCATGTCGTGCAGTTTTGAAACATAGTGATTCGCGTTAGGACTTAGGACCATCGGGTGATTACTATATTTTCGTGTCTGCTATATGTTTTCGTGACTGCGTGACATGAAAATATAACCAAATGTTTTGCTCGATTGACCGTTAACTCTGATCACTCTCATGTAACTCTTATTTTCGTTTCACTGGGGCATGAGAATTGAGGAAACTCTCGTGCAAACTCTCGCTTCTCAACTCTCGTAACCAGAGCTGAGAAGACATACTGTGTTGGGCGAAAGGAAGCAACATCCTGAAGACCCTTTGTCTGGAAATTAGGTCGGTCAGTATAGCTAGCAAATGAAGGCGAATATTGTTTTCAACCCTGCCTCCACTGAAACCCACACTTAATTACGATTTTATACTGTATTCTCTGTTACACATATTGAGTGTCCAGTATTGGACTTGTTTAAGATCTTGTATTTCAGATGTGAATTATACAATAAATCATGACGCAATGTTATCATCTTGATCTTTTTGAATGGAAACAATCGAGGAAACAATAATCTCTTTATCATGCAGGCATTAAAAATGAAGATAAATTATATTCAAGTCACGTCTTAGCTTATACAAATTGAAAGTTTTATATATCTGAACTATTATATATCTTCTTTTAACATTGAAAATATCATCTAAACCTATCCATCAAAACGTTTTCATTCTCAAAGAAAATTACTTTTGGATGTTTTGGCTAATGTCTGATGATTACTCATTTGGCTTAGAGGAATTTGATAAACTCCACACTGTCCTCGTTTTTGTTGTGACAATACATGAAAGAGATAAGAATTAAGAAATGTATCTGAACTTGATCTCTTTCACTCTTTCAGACAGTTACGAAAATGTCAAAACCGAAAACAGTTCGTTTGTTTTGACTCGGCAATTTTTATGATTCATTTTCCATTTCAACTAATTGTCGAGGTAACTAACCCAAGATATAAATATTTGTGTAGTTTCAAATCACAGCTTCCGATTTAAGGATAGAAACCTCATCCCCAAATACAGTAGTCAAAAATAAACTTTGCTTGTGGTTAAATTAACATTTTGATTCACCCTTTGTTATTTGATATTTTTCAATATAGATAATATTTTTTGGCGGACTAATGATGCTAATTTCTCCTTCATTGCACAAGAGGAAAAAAATGGTAACTATAAAATATACTATTATTTTATCTTAAGCCAATTAAACAACAACTTTAGTTTTCTCTTTGAAAGAATCTTAGTATGGTGATCCTTTCAGCTTTTTTGTTTAAAACGGCTATTACGTATAATTCATAGTATAATTGAAGATTCAAGATTATGATTGTAGCCGTACAACAATGTCAATGACCTAACACTACTTCACGTTCAAGTCGCGTACCTCAAATTTTCGTAAAATGCACGCGTTCCATTTAGATCTGCTTTATTTTTTTTGTCACGTGATGCTTTCATACTCTTAGTATAAAAGCCCGTGCATTTTCCCCGATCCCTGCTACTAACTCTTGACGAAGGGCCTTCGCTCGAAACGTCGAGTTTCTGCTTATTTTTTAAGGTAGTAATATAACCACTCAGCACAGCATTTTCACTTGTATAGTCAACCCTTTGAGTTGTTTTTGTTTAATCTTTAATTAAAATTCTTTATACAGGCGGTAGCCTTTCAGTATAATATTTACAGTCTGATTTTCAAAGGGCCGTGTTTTTATTCAATATTAAAAAAACACCACACAAAATAATAAACTGTATACAAATTACGCTCGTTAAATATTTTCATATGATTTCATGAAAAAGGTATTGTCATAAGCGCCGTTTGAATGTAGATACGGATAGATTATAAAAATTCTCCGATATTTCGCCAGGTAACTCGTGTCCCACCCTTGTGCCGCTCTATAAGAGAAACTTTTTTTATGCAAGTAGTTGTTAATGTAAAAGAGGGTGTTGATAGGGTATATCGTGAGCCGTGATTCACTCAATTTCGGTTACCATCAGTCGTGAAAACACTAAAAATTTACCGTGAGGAAAAAAATAGTGTTAATCGTTTCAGAACACTTTTCAAAGATTTAGCGTTAAAATACCATAATTTTTACTGTTTACTGATTTTCAGACCCCCATCTAGACCATCGCAAAGACGTTGTGAAAACTAAAAATAATTTCTGTTTATTTTTCAGGCTGCATATGGTCTATTTCTGTGCATCCCACTTCTCACGTGTGCTCTGGTTGGTTCTATCTTACATGGCACAGCTTACACTCATTTTGTCTCCATACACCAGAGACGCTTGTTCTTCGAGAATCGTTTCTACATATGTTCAGATGTTACTAAAGATTCTACTACTCAATGCCAGTGTACCAAACTTAGGAGCGCGAATGATAATGTCCTTCTTCCAGTGCCATGTGCTCAACAGAAATCTTTAGTTGGTTTTCATGGAACCTTGCTGACGTTCTCTGCCATGGCGTTCGCATTATTGCTTGGAATTCTTATAATCTGTGTCATTTTTTTGCTGCACTTTTTTAAAATCCAGGTAACCAAATTGTTTTTCTTGTTCGTATTTTTGGTGTGATATAGTGGGACAGTATTGCGGCCCTGCGATAGAACTATGCAGTAGAAATAAAATAATTTTGTTCTTCTGATTTCTAGCTTCCACTGAATACTAGCAGATCAGGACACGACAATGAAGGATTCTCTCATGCCGGGGGTCGCAGTCACAGCATTGGTGTACACATTGATGCACCGTTATCCCAACATCCATCTCGAGCAACCGTAAATGACCCTCTTGATCGTCCACCTTCGTACGAATCATTGTCATTTGATATGATGTCACACGGTATGACGTCACATGCTAATGCGTCACGTGTGACATATGACGTTACTGAAAGGAATATGGCAGCGACGGTGAATGGACAAGCTAGGGTGAGGTATAGAGGAGAATCGAGTTCAAGGTTCGTTAATCAAAGTCCAGGCGGAGCAGAATCAGGAGAGAGTTCACCGAATGAGGTGTCGAGTTCTATAAACGAGCTTGAAAATGTTGAAGCACAAATGGCAGTGGTTGATGGCACAGCTCAGAGGACACAAGGTGAACCAATTCTTCTTCAAATAAGCCAAGTTAGACAAAGACCTCATGAAGTAAACAGTACAACTCGGCCAGGATACACGTCCAATGAATTGGACCGCATGACGCATCAAGACATTGAAGCAAGACCTGAGCAAGCTACTTCAAATGATATAAACGAGCCGAGATCTGAGCAAAATACGGAACCCGGCATTGACATAAGATCCGGGCGAACCCATTCACCTTCACGCGAAACGATTCCCCATGGAGGAAACAATTCTCCAGGCCGAAGTTCAAGTTTTAGAAATTCCAATCCTACTGAGATTAACATGCGCGTGATACGACATTCTTCACTCAGAACTCCCCATCCTTCCTCCATCGATCATTCAAGCGACATACAGGTCGCTGCCTACGAGGAAAGAAGCAACCCTACAGGCCAAAGTGTTAGAAATCCTCTTTCCTCTTCTATGGAGCATGCACCTTTGGAGCGAACGGTTTCTGATAATTCTGAAGATGGTGTATATATTGATATCACTCAATCTTCAGCCCAGAACTCAAGCTCCGTCTCTGGTAGTGATCCTGCACGAATCGCTGCGAGGTATAGGGGGCAGGTGGACTCTAGTCAGACACGCTCACGTATCACACGCGAACAAGAAGATACTTCAGATGAAAATATAGATCTTCAAGAGAGGACAACTGATGAAGAAGAGCATAGTTCTTCAAATGCAATCATTTCTGCTGTATTGACAGAACAAACCACAGACTCATTAAACAATGATAGAGATGAGGCAGCTAGCACAGACACAGACGATTCTCCTGAAGATGAGATTCACAATGAGACTCCATCTCAGCAAGATGGTCAATCTATATCATCTGAACGTGATAATATAAATCTTCATAATTCAGATACAGTCTCGGTAAGCAGTCTTGAAATAATGTCTATTTAATGATTGAAATTCGCATAAAAAGAATTAGTCACGTAATGATACAGATGAGGCAGCTACAATCGTCGAATAATTTCATTGGGACAAAGTTCACGCCCATATAAAAATACGTCTACACCATACATAGCCTCAGTTTCAGTCCTCCCCTTCCCCCACCGATCAATGTTGACAACGAAAGTGAGTTGGGCGAAACCCATCATCGTTCCACAACACACAACATTGGGTGGTGGGGGGAAGGGGAAGGTGTGGGGCGTACAACTACCGTTAGCAAAACGACATCGCAAACTATTCGTTTGATGCATCGTTGTCCCAATGAATTTGTCCATGATTGTAGATTCACAATGAGACCCCGTCTCAGCGAGATGGTCAATCTATATATCATCAGAACGTGATAATATAAATCCTCATAATTCAGATACAGGCTCGGTAAGCAGTCTTGAAATAATGTATATTTAATGATTGAAATTCGCATAAAAAGAATTAGTCACAATGATATAGAAATGAGGCAGCTAGCACACACAGACGATCCTCCCGAAGACGAGATTCACAATGAGACCCCGTCTCCGCAAGATGGTCAATCTATATCATCAGAACGTAATGATTTAAATCCTTATAATTCAGATACAGGCTCGATAAGCAGTCTTGAAATAATGTATATTTAATGATTGAAATTCGCATAAAAATTATTAGAGTAAGCGCCTGATTGTGGTAAAAGATACAGTACAAGAAACAGTAATAGAATAGTTAAATACCAATAACATGCAGTTTATTATATGAAATAAATATTGATAATAAATTTAATACATTTTATATGATAATTGTCGAGTCTCCATTTCATCACGGCTCACAATGACACAGTAAGGATTTACTTCGACACAGCATACAAAATAGATCTCATTAATCGGGTACACCCAAGACTTTTCCAACCATGCATGTTTGGAAAAGCTTAAATACCTCGGATAACAAATATTTTATTCAGATGTCCGCGCGTTATTTACATACATTGAATGATACATATTTTATTCAGATATATTTTCCGTTAATAATTATATTCCTATAGTGAATACTTCATTCATAATGCGCCACAAGCTTCGAGCATTGATCTAAGTTCTCCTTTTTGCTGTAATGCTTCAACTTCTGATCCTCCGCCAACGAATTTTTTATCAATGAATACACGAGGTACCTGAAAATTAAAGCAAATACATAAGCACTTTTTCTTCACTATTTGTGCAGTGGTCCTCCGGGGTACGGGGATAGGGCTACCAGACCCAACATGGCAATAAGTATCAAAAACAAAATGGCGACGTCAAAGGTACATCTTAGAACTTTCTCAAAACAACAAGCAAGTGCATGAACTTCTGAAGCAAAGGAAGGTAAATATAATGAAATCCTTACTGTTCTTGCACCTGTCATGTCTCGCAAAACGTCAAGTATAGTATCGCCATCGTCTCTTTTATCCAGTTCATGTACAGTGTATTTGTCAAGTCCTGCCGCTTGGAACGCGTTCTTTGCTTTGCTACAGTACGGACAGTATGTCTTTGAAAATATTACTACAAGATTTGAACTTATTTCTTCGTTTACCCAAGTTTTTATTTGTTCTTTATTCGCATTGCTGCTGCTGGCCCCCATCTTGAATTCCGCGTAATAAGGGGACTGGGTACTTGTGCCGTCGTTGGCACCTGAGAATGAACACATGCAGTTTATATTGTTCAATTTCAATCACGTGATATTTTAACATAATGTGACTGTATGTATGTTTGCTTGTTTACATCTCAACCTTTTGTTGTCGGTAATCTAGTATGATATCAGTCTTCATCAAAAAATATTTTACTTCGTAATCTTAACAAAAATCCTTTAATTCACTTCTCAATATACATAATTTACACAAATTTATATTTACATATTTTAAGAATTTTTATATTTATTATATTACCAATTTAATTTACACAATTACGCAGTTCAAATTTAATTAAATAGATTAAATTTTAAAATAGATTCTGAATGAAAATGTTGTGCTCTTCACGGCATACTTTTAGTTCTTTTTGAAAAATGACGCGATTGTTCTCTCAACAAGTTTGCAATTTCTTGGACTTCACTGTCGTCACTGGATACTCCTAAAAATAAATATCAACCTGCAATGTAAAATTGTGATGAGGGTAGTGATGGTCATGCCGGGATGGTGGCAGGGCCGTACACAGCGGGGCAACTGCCCCCCCCCCCCGAGAAAACTATATTTACGATTTTTAGAATGTCATTATTAATTATTCGTTGGATATTTGGGACTTTTTTCAGCATATAGACCCATTGCACTGACGTCACAAATCCTTAGAGTGTCCTCCAGATGCTCCCTAACAAAATCTGTTCGGGTACAACAACCACATACAACGCAAAAATTAACCATTTTAATACAAAATTATTATAAAGTTTTACAAAATTTGCTTCGTTTACAAAAGTTATATTATGCATAGATTGCTAATTTGTCCTCCAGATGCATCGTCGCTGGCGCTGTGACGCTATGTGCAATGGGTCTATAGACCTCACTGCCCCCCTGGTGAAAAAATCTTGCGTACGGCCCTGTATGGTGGTGATGATATAATGGTGGTGATGGTTGTGTGATTATTGTGGTGATGATGGTCATACTTATGATGATAATTTCAAAATGTTACAAATAAGCTTACCCAGCATCGAAACAGAGGTACGTTTTCTTTTAACGGTATCTTCTTGTCGACACCATTTCTTCGTAACATCCGAGTGTGTATTTCTTATAAATGGCTCCGATTGTGGAGTATACTTTGCAGAATTGGCCGGCTTGCTCGGGATTGGATTCTTGTCGTCCATGTCTAACAGAGATTCCATCGACCAGGAGGTTTCTGGAGGGTCTATTACATCAACAACGAATATTTCGTCGTCTAGTAAAGGAGGGGGTTTCCGTACTTGTGGTTTGACCATCGCCATGGGAGATTGTTTTGGTCTTTTTGAGTTTCGTCTGGATACTTTTAGACCACATGATCTGGGAGTGGGCGACCCTGAGAAAATTTGTAAAAGAAGATGTAGGTTAATGTTTTATTTTTTGTGGAAAAAGCTTGGATCTTCATCACTTTATATATTTATCATAATACGTACCAGTGTTGCGAACTTTGCTGCAGTGACTAGATACGGGAGTGCTTTTATTTGGTGTTGAGTACAACTGGTTTGCTCGAGAAGGTACTTGGCAGCTCATTGAATTTTGCGTGCCCAAATGTGATGTTGTGGATGTACTTCCTGCCTGGGTAGCCAGTATGATGGAGTATGATGGATTTGGTGTACAAGTCACTGTACTATTATTTGCATAGGGAAGATTTGGGTTAACCATTGGGTGTATTGGTAGTGTTGGGTTGACCATTGGGTGTACTGGTAGTTTTTGGTAAACCACAGGATCTGGTGGTAATGGGTTGTTTCTCGCAGGGTTGTAGTAATCGTTTGTCTGTCCTGTTTGCCAGGGATTGTACCCGTAGCCAGATGAAGGACCTCCGTTGGGAAAAGTCTTGTAGGTTCCTGGATCTGCCTTATTGTGGTGAAGGGGAGGGATCTGGTAGCCACAGAAAGGATCAGTGTGTTGTGATGATGGTGGAGTGTTTCCAAGACACAAAGCTTGGTTTGCATTCCATTGGTTAATACATTGTAAGTACTTCTGTTCCAATTCCTGGAATTTTGACTTCTGATCAATGTAAGCGGATTCCTTATTCTTCATTTCATCTAATTGTTTTTCTAGGATTCCTGCCTTCGTTTCCAAGACTTTGATTGTACCAGATTGCTGAAAAGATACAATTGTTATTTTATACATTCAATCAACTGAATCAAATAAATTAAAACGTTTTTCAAACATGCTTGGTAAAAATTAAACGGAACTTATAACCAAATTCTCTGTGGAGAGACTTTTTCAAAGCGTCTGCGGAGAAGACTTACTTCAGAAATATTCTCGTTTAATTCTCGTTTTTCATGTTTGTCCTTGCCTTTTGCTTCAATTATTGAAACGAGTTCTTGTTTCACTGTGAAATAAAAACGAAATGTCGAATATTCTTCAACCAAGTGAATTTAGTTCAGGTGTGGGATTATTGGAAAATAAATACTGTACACGCCTAGCATCTTGGCTACAACATTGTACTATGATTGCACTTACAGTTCAAGACTTTATCATCAATACGTTGGCTTCCGTCTTGCATGTTCTTTACAATCGCTTGCAATGTGGTTTCCATATCGCTTTTGAAATTTGTAAAGGAAGAATCCACCTTCAAGAAACACGCCATTTTTCAGGTTAAAATAAATCGATAATTTTCGAAGTGTGTAATATTTTATATCACACTCCTACCTCCTTTGTGTAGTCTTTTAAAAGATTAATAAATGTTTGAAGCATATCCCTGTAAAATATTTGTGAATATCAGTTATCAAAAAAAGGGAATGAAATCATTTTGAATAAGAGGCAAGTTATGAAGAAATAAATGAACTAGTTACCTTTCTTCTTTCATGGAAATATTTTGTTTTTCTTCTTTAATAAAAGCTTGCATTGATCTGGTTAATTTGTTGTTTTTGGAAGATGCCGGAAACAGAGGTGGGTTGCTTACATATTTTGAATAGTAGTTTGGTGGTTCGTCCTAAAACAAACACATGTTTTATAGTAAAGTAAAATTTTAAAAACTATTCAAAAAATATAAACAGCGTATCGTGTTATAAATTTATACTTCTGTTGTCTGTGATTGGCTTCGCTGATATTGATCAAACTTTGATGGAATTGATCCTTTTTGTTGAGAAAACATTTCAGTTGAACTCATTTGAGAATTTTGTGATGAGTACATGACTTGGCTGTACTGTTGTGAATCCCAAGCATTATTGTCACTATTATAATAAAAATACAAAGTATAAAAATTTTACAAAAAGTTTGTAGATTTTAAATACATTAATACAACTATAAAATCTCTATTTAAATATTCCTGCATCGACTATTGTTTTAAATTTTCACAAACAATATAAAGCATCACAAGTGTTTGTATTATATAGACGCATTGTATTGCTGGACAGTAAAACTATATTTTTTATACTTTACCTCAAGGCCGAGTTCACCTGGACATCCCTTGCTGAAAAGACGTTTTGCGAAAACATTTTTAAGGAATACCAAACGTTTTACAAAGAAAGCACAACTTTTATATCCGACATCTTCCCAAGGAGCGTTTTGGCCACACCAATAACGAAATAATTCAAGAAAACATCGTTTTTAAATAAACAAATTTTATTAAATGGCCGAGTCGTTTAGCCAAGGTCACTCAACTTGAAATTTTCCCGCGCTTCGCAAAAGCTGTAGCTCGGCATCTGATTGGCTCAGAGCTGCGATATCGGGGAATATTCCCATTATCTGACATATATCACGAAATAAATTGTTTTACAATAAAACAAATGCTCTTATTTATCTATATTGCACCAAAATAATTAGAAATGTGTTGAGGAGCATATTAGTGCTAAAAATATTGATATTTTTGCCTTATAAATTATAAAAGTAGGCTACTTAGTAGCCTTACAAGCCTTACAAGACTTTGAGGTATTTTTACCCGCTCGGGACTTGTGCTCATTTGATTACAACGCGTAATCTGATTGGTTCGCATACCAGTCATTTTGCTCCTTGGAAACGAAGGGAAATTGGGTTGTGTTGTTAATTTTCGACACGTTTTGCAGAATTTAAAACAATTTTAGTCGAAATGTGAGCGAAAATTTTACTGAAATGGCGTCTGTTATTTACGAAAATAATCGAGCTATTGTTGGAAGTTGGGTGAGTGATATTTTACTAATTTTTGCATAATTTCTAGTGCCAAAAATCCCCAAACTTAACGCTAAATATTTGTACCTCGTGTTACAAATTATTATAATTTCATGTCTGTCATGTATTAATGCCAACAAGCTTAAGTCTGACACAGTAAACAGTATAAACGTTTGTGTGGTTTCAAAATTATATACTTAATTGGTAATTCATCAATATTATATATAAACAAGTTTTGATATAGAATATTCATTATTCAATATTGTTTACCAGTGCCATAGCAAGCTCGATATTTAAATTGGGGGGGGGCTGATATTCATATATTCGTGTTCACAGACCATAAAAACAATCGATTTCAAAAGAAATTAATAATGCAGAACACAAATATATAAATATCAGCCCCCCCCCAATTATCGAGCTTGCTACGGCACTGTTTACAATTTTTTACAAAATAATTTATGAATTTTTTCTCGATTTTTTACAGTATCCAACAAGTTTCCATGGCCACTTCAGAAATCGTCCTCGATCTGAGTACAGCATACCATTTCGGCAAAGGGCTAAGCCGTCTCCACCCCAGAAGTTTCTCGACCAATCAAAAGTATGTTTTTGAATACGGTACCTAAGATTCTCTTGTATATATGGTTAATTATCTTGCTGGGTTGCTGTGTAGTTTGCAAAAGGCTTTTATCACAACTGTAATTTATCAATTTTTCAGCATCGCTCAAACAATCACCTTTTCTCGAGACATGACAACAGACATGCTCATGCTAACGAGGGAAACTTAGAAGCATATTTTGGCATGGTAAGAAATTTTATTTGTCTTAATAACAACCATTATCTCTTATATGTCTTAATGGGCATTCCATTATGTCTTAGCGAGCATCTTAACATATGTCTTAATGGGCATTTCATATGTGTTATATGTCTTAACGACCCTTATCTGTCTTAACGAGTGTCTTAATAAGCATGTAAGCAAGGATATTAACTCCTATTATATTAAGATACTTGTATTAAGATAAGTATCTTAACATATCTTACCTAGTATTTTAACGAGCACATTAGCACCTTAATGAGCACATTAGCACCTTAACAAGCACATCAACAAACACTTAGCAAATTATATGCCAATTTTCATTCAATATTCTGGGCATCTATCAAAAAGCCTCACAGGCAAATCCGAATGCTTACATAACATCTCTAACGCAGGGTCTTGGCAAGAGAAAATCCAACAACTACCAACGCAATAAAAACACAAAGGACCTGCTTACATGGTCTGATCGCAGTGAACCGCTTGTCTCAACATATCGTTCACAGTTCTCTCTAACACCCAAGCCGAGAGAGTTGTGCAACGACCAGGAACCATTACACATTAGAGGTAACCTTGGCACACAACGTCGGCAACTAAGGGTCCGGACGACCATTCCACCTAGGGCAAAAACAGCACCTCTTTTAGCATGGAATTCCACAGATGAGTTTCTTGAATTTAAACCCTTGGTTGGCTGCCGTAGTAACCGATACGCAGATCTCACTGCCACTCAAAATTCTATTTATGGTGTCTCATCGATTTCACCAAATCGAAAACCAGTTTCAAATACTGTCATACAAGAAACTGTCATGCCACTCAACAATACTGTGTAATATTTCATGACTAGTAACATGGTTTCCAGTCAAATTATTTTGAATGGTGTTGAGGGAATCATTAAATATTTATAATCAAGTTGTAAAAGAAATTTGAACTTCTAGTCACATTCTTTTGGATTGCACTTTTGCTCTTGTTTTAACAGGGAAATAGTCTGACAGGTGTGCCCTCTGAGAAGGGGCTTTACCTATTTCTTCTTTTTACGGAATACCCCCAGGGAAATCTTCCACTCAAGCATTCAATGCATCATTCTGTAAATGTTTATTTGTTTCTCAATTTAACTATATATGCTCAGCTGGTCATATGTTGTTTCAATAACTGAATCTATTACATTCCTCCAGAAAGTGTCAATTTTGCTACAGAGCCTTGTTTTCGTGATCAAGATGTTGGGCTTCAACTAATGTCACACATACACAAAATGGGTCGTTCCAGAAAAGATCCACACTCCCCCCACGGAGGAAATTTCTGCCGTCCGAAGGGGGAGGGGAGACAAAATTGTTTCTGATAATAGTAAATGTATTAGGACATCCAAAGGGGGTAGGGGGGTTAACTTCCAATTTCCTCCGTGGGGGTGGTATGGATGTTTTCTGGAATGACCCAATTGGGTCTCTATAGCCAAAGTGACATATACTATCTGAAAAGGTTTATTAATGTGGGTTTTAGTACCAGTACAACCTTTTAAAAGCTGGGGGGTTTTTCATAAATTTTATTTCATTTAAATTAAAATAATTACATTTTATACATATCTAATACATCAATCTGAGAGTAACTTCTAATAAATTAATATAACGATAAACTTTGTTCTAATAAATTATTATAATAAACTTTGCATTCAAGATATATGTTTTTGCCTTAATTTACAATGATCCTCGCCTCGCCACTTCCAACTTCTATGGGCAAACATTCCTGATGATTAAATCTTCCTTTACACTCGTAACCATCAGGGCAAGGACACCATCCCTAGAAAACATAGCAAAGTTGAATGTTTTGTGTTTAATGCCTTTGCACAAGTGCCACCCAGCCCGCCAGCTTAGCAACGGGGGAATGCCCCCCTTACCCATCTGGTCTGGCTACACCCCTGCAGCCAGCCAGTGATCAGAATTGACGGAATATTCCATCATTGCCTTTTCCTTGTTTTGAAAATCCAATTGTTCTCTATACTATCCCCAGTCAGCCATTGTTATGACATATTTGTGGCTAAAAGACAAATCTTTCATTCTTCAAGGGGAAAACGCTGGGCGTTAGCGCGTTAAACTAAGCTGTACCATACTAAACTAATACCAAGGCAAGTGTCCTCACTCAGACTATATAACATTCATAAACGACTTGTGGCGGTGTTGAACCGAGTTTAATTTTCTTCTGATGTCACTCTGAGTGTCTCCACACCGGGCAAGCTGAAAAATTGAACCAGCGACCATTGGCTTGCTTGTCAAAAAGACATCAGAAAAAAATCAAACGAATCAGACACATACCTTTCTGCAGAATGAATAAGGTTTCATGTGGCGACATTTCGGCTTTGCCAAACAAAATCCAACAGAGATAGAACATGTTTCATCGTCAGGACAGTGTGCATCGATGTAACATTCCTTGCGAAACACTTCATTTCCTCTTGTACATTTGCTGATGAAGGGAATGCAATATTTCTCTGCTGGGCATTGTTGAAGTGCTGAACACGAAGTCTGTAGAATAGAAAGGTAGAAAGATTAAAAATTTACTTCGCAATCACATTGGTAATGTGTAAATAGGTAGGCTACAGTTCACTGCGGAGGTCCAGTGCAGGTAGTATTCTACAATAATCTGCCGTGGTTCATTGTGTCTGAACAAGATAACACTTTAAGATGGCCCTCAAAAACTTCAAAGCTTCAACAAATCCTAGTTTGAGTAGAAATGATGGTGCCTTTCAGCTGATAGGCGATGCCCCTAATAATAAAATTGGTTTCACATCAATAACTTACATGCGGTTTCTTGCGCTTTGGCTTTTTCCCGCCCCTTTTTGACGATATTTCGACGGCTAGAAGAAGGATTAAGAGAACAAGGAATGTAGTTTTCATAGCGCTGCTTGAGACTTGCTTTCCGATGGTGTGGTTGCCTACTGTTTCACTGCTTTCGTTGGCTTGAATGTGTCACTTTTTGAAGGCACCCGACTTTTATAGTCATTATGATTCCTATTTTACCTTAATTGGAAAAACAAATCCTGCGGCAAATTTTTATTAACATTGTTTCGAAATCCAACCGTTCTCCATAGCAATCACTCCAATTCCCACGGGAGCGAAAAATGAATCACAACCATACTCGAGTCCTCACTAGCAACACATACAGAAAACAGTGAGATTTCAAAACAGTGAAAAGACAATAGAACAATGTGATTACTGAACCGTGACTGGGTCGCACTATTCTTAAAGCCTGGTTCACACTGGTCGTAATTCATCGGCGATCTATTGTATCCTTTTCCGACAGACAAAGCATTTTACACACCAAAGACAATGGAAATCCCCGATTCTTACCACCAGTGTGAACCAGGCATAAGCCGGTTTTTATTAGGCGGAATTTTGCGC